CTGCTGCTGCTGCTGCTGCTGCTGCTGCTGCTGGTGCTGCTGCTGCTGCTGTTTGCTGCGCATGTGTCTCCCCCCCAAAGACAAAGGAGACAGCATCAGCAGCAAGAATACCATCGACAGCAGCAGAAGTTACTGTCTGTCTCCCTGCAACGATCTGCAGCAGCCGCAGCACCTGCGGCACAGCCAACCCCCCCTCTTCCTCCTCCTCCTCCCCCTCCTGCTGCTGCTGCTGCTGCTGCTGCTGCTGCTGCTGCTGCTGCTGGTGGTGGTTTATTGGGGAGAGGGGTACGTTGAGAGCCTGCAGCAGCTGCTGCAGATAGGAGACAGTTAGCGGCCTGCCGATGGAGTCTCCTATTGCTGCCTTTATGAGTCTAGCTGTCTCCTTTAGAGAGAGAAATGAGGGTTTGTTTGTTTTTGTTTTTTTTTCTTTTTTTTTCTCTCTCTCTCTGTCTCCTTTTTTCTCTCTGTCTCCTTCTCTCTCTCTGTCTCCTTCTATCTCTCTCTCTCTGTCTTTGTCTCTGTCTCCTCTTTCTTTCTGCTGCTGCAGCATACGCAGAGTTCGTATGTAGGGGCCCATTGGTTCTTCTCTTACACTCACGAGGGCCCCCATTATCCTGGGTCTTCCTGCTGCTACTACTGCTGCCAGCAGGCTGCAGCAAGCTCCCTCCTCTTCTGCTGCTGCTGCTGCTGCTGCTGCTGCTGCTGGTGCTGGTGCTGCTGCTGCTGCGGTAGACGCAGCAGAGAGACGCGGGCATGACATGTCGCCGTTTGCTGCTGCTGCTTCGTCGCATTGAAGCTGCTGCTGCTGCTGCTGCTGCTGNGCTGCTGCTGCTGCTGCTGCTGCTGTTGCTGCTGCTGCTGCTCCTGGGACCCCAACGGCTCTGCTACGGCAGCAGCCAGCAGCATGCTGCTGCTGCTGCTGCTGCTGCTGCTGCCATTGTTAACGGAGAGTTGCTGCTGCGTGGAGGGGAAGAGCAGCAGCAGCAGCAGCAGCAGCAGCTTAAAGCTGCTGTTCGGAGCTAGAAGCATTGCTGACAAGGAGAGAGAGACTAAGCTCGATTGGCAGTGGAAGTTTGCTGCTGCTGCTGCTGCTGCTGCTGGTACTGCTGCTGCTGCTGGTACTGCTGCTGCTGCTGCTGCTGCTGCTGCTGCTGCTGGTACTGCTGCTGCTGCTGCTGCTGTCTTGCTGCTTCAGCTGCTGGTGCACCAGCAAGGAACAAAGCAGCAGCAGCAACTGCAGCAGCTCTCACAGCAGCAGCTGCTGCTATGTGGGAGGAGAAAGAAAGGATGAAGGCCTATTCTACAGAAAGGCAGCGAGGAGCTGCTGCTGCTGCTGCTGCTGCTGCTGCTGCTGCTGCTGCTATAGCTGCTGCTGCTGTTGCTGCTGCACTTTATGCTGCAGTGGATGCCGCTGGCGTTGCTGCTGTTGAGTCTGCTGCTGGTATTGCTGTTGCAGCAGTTGTTGCTGCTGCTGCTGTTGCTGCTGCTGTTGCTGCTGCTGCTTCTGCTGACGTTGCTGCTCCTGACCTCAGCAGCAAACCAAGCGGAGGGTGGGGGTGATGGCGCTTAGAGCTGAGGGGGGAGAAGCTGCTGCACAGACACTGCAGCTGCTGCAGGACCACAACCAGCAGCAGCAGCAGCAGCAGCAGCAGCAGCAGCAGCAGCAGCAGCAGCAGNGCAGCAGCAGCAGCAGCAGCAGGGACTGAAGGAGCTACAAATGAGTCAGAAGGGTGAAAATAAGATATATAAAGAAAAGGAAAGCCAAAGAAAGTTTGTGGATGAGGAGAATCTAGAACTTGTAGCTGTGTCGGCAGCAGCACCAGCTGCAGCAGCAGCAGCAGCAGCAGCAGCAGCAGCAGCAGCAGCAGCAGCACTGCTTCGTTCTGTAATTATTGTTTGCCTCAACTCAAAGAAACTGCTAAAAGGATTTCAGGTGTACGTACACCCGAAAATAAAAGGGGTACAAAGCACCCACCTCCTGTAGCTGCTGGCCGAGTCAAGGAGGTGAAATTAGGGTTTAGGGTTTACTAGGGTTTAGGGTTTAGGGTTTAGGGTTTAGGGTTTTGAAGGGAAAATAAAGTGTAAAACATTAAATAAAGATAGATGACAAATGTATAAACACAGAAGGAAGGGTTTACGAGGGTTTGCTTCTTGTTGCAGCCAGCTGTGAACATCATCGACCACACGGTAGCCGCTGCTGAGCGAGGGTTTAGGGTTTAGGGTTTAGGGTTTACTAGGGTTTAGGGTTTAGGGTTTAGGGTTGAATTTGTAAAAGTTTGTAAATAAAAAAGTTTTTTCTTCGTTTTGCTTATAAACACTAACAGCATTATACAGCCAGCTCAGCACAGCCGCAATACACACAAACCCTAAACCCTAAACCCTAAACTGTAATGCACAGTGGCCGTATACTGTGCCTACGATACCCACTTGAACTCTATGTCAGTAGATCTACAC